CTTTTGAGACAAATGACCTTCACAGTACTAAAGACAATAGTTCGACTTATCGTCAGTAAAAATTTGGAATTTTTTTGTGAATTAACAAAAAAAATACGACGAGTTAAAGTGAGAAGTATTAATTTTGTATGCAGAAAACCGTGATTTTTCAACATTTTCATTAATAACTAAAAAATGCGATAATGAAATGAACTGAAATTTTAGCACACAGATTAACAGTGAGGCTATATATGGTCCAAATTTCAAAATTTTTTACCCCTAAGAAAAAAAGAAAGAATATTATAAGTTATGTATAGAGGTATATATATTTTTTAAACTCTATGTGGACAAATGAGCATAGATAACCAATAAAACAATAATGGACAAGGCTAGTTAAACCTGACATTGACGAAACTCAAGATCCACATATTATTACTTTTTTTAATTGGGTATTTCTGCCACTCTGAAATAAATGTTTAATCGTAAATAGTACACACCAGGACAAGTCGTTAGCGTTTCGAAAACTCTCAATTTTAGTTCTCACAACTCTAATTAGCCTAACTGAAAGCCACATGTGAATTTTTTTCAGACACGTTGATTAGAGTTTTGACACAAAAACGGAGTTTAGTAATATTTTGTGCCGAGTTTTAACTGCTTCTGCTATTCAAGTCATAGATAACAACAATGCTTCACACTATTTCCTTTTCACTTATGTTTGAACGATAACTATGGAATTAACATTTTCAAAAAATGAGCAGGGGCATTACTTTGCCAATTTATTAAAGTGAAATTAAAATAGAGAGAGAATAGTATTTAAAAATTTAGAGGAAACAATGATAATGCAGAATCAGCTGTTTATTTCATTATATTGTCAAGGACGAAGAAACTATAAAGTATTTATGGTAAGAAAGAAAATCAAGGGAAGAAAAACGCAATCAGCAATTTCAGTGCCTCGTTGTAAGAGGTCATTTCATCAAGGCTACTCAGTTGTAAAATCTGTATGGCAATACGTATTGTTAAGAAACCGAGAATTAGGGCCCTAAAAGTATTTTACATTTATGATCATTTTGTTTATTACTTAACCATAGTTATATCTTGAAGAAGATTATGTGTGACTTTGAAATATGTTCTTATTTGTCATTTGTAATGAATGTTTATTAATGCAGTAAGCAACTAATAATACGTTAAACCATTTAGCAGCAAGCTTTCTGTGAGGAATTATAGTTAAAAAAAACTTTCATCCCGATATTGTTGCACAACATATTTTATCATTTTCCCTGCATCTACAGTTAAATCTCATGCAGATTCAGTAACTTAATTAAACTGAATCCATCACAACATGCTCCAAAAACAACGACCTTAGCAGTTTTTGTGGAAAAGGACAGAGAAGATATTTACATGAAAATCTCCATAGTAGACGACCTTAATGTCTTTTTTTAGTAACTTTTTATCAGTAGGTAACTGGTCCTTTATACCGGTTAATTATTTAGTTCTGATTTTTATTAATAGATTGAGAAGTATTAACATATAATACGTATCACATCAATAATTCATCACATTTGAATGTGGAAGCATTGTCGAATATGTAAATTCTATTATTTCTCTGTCATTAAATTTAGGCTAATGAAATTAATAATGGCGCACCTATGTACTATTATTACTGGATTTCATAGAGTATCCATAATTTTCCTGGTATCTGTTTTAAATAAATATACAGTCAACTGGACGCAGCATAATGGGTGCAAATTAATATAGGTACTACTTTATTATTGCGTTTTTTGCAAGATGTAAGGAATAGTTTTGAGCGGAACAAAGATGTGCATTTAATTGTAAACAATATTAAATTGACATAATATTATTTCTATTTATAAACAAATAATGTTTTTTAATGCTACCATTAATCAAATTTTGATTGAAACAGAATATTTTTGCAGTTTATATGATAAATAAAAATTATTACTTACGTATTTTCATAATTTTTTATTGGCAAGATGTACTTTAATTTTGGTTACTCTTATTACAGACAAACTGTAAAACAGGCTCTTAAAAATTATAGAAATAGTACCTTCTTGCAGTGTGCATTAGGTAATATATGTAAGAATGTATTCAATAGAAAATACCACGATATAGTTTTACTCGTTTGTAATGTAAGTAGATTCGGAGAAAGATATACATACTAAAAATTAAAAATTAGTCGTGAATTTTCCATACGAAAGCATTTTTCATTGTAGTTTTCTAGTTTTTCTAGAATACAGTGCCAAACTGGAGGTAAGAAGTAATATTCTAAGTTTCCTATATCCCAGGACAGTAATTAAAAAAGTTACATGATAATAAAAACACAATTCAAACACTTTTTTATTAATTTCAAAATTAGATACAAATGAAGCTCGGAGTACATCTTCAGATTATCTGTTTTAATAATCTAATGGAAAAATAGTTTTTGCTTCATGCACAGTGACTGAGAAACGTGAGATTTATTATTTAAAAAAAAATCAAGTCGTAATTTCGGTAAAATAAATAATATGTTTATTTGAAAGAGCACCTAAAAAGGCAAACAAAATGTATTTTTGTATAGTCATTACGATATCAGTTGGAACTGTATAGAAACATTTAACTCATAAACTCCACGGAATTCATAGGCGTCCAGAAAAATTTTGCCTTGTCTCGTCTGGATATTCTATATTTCGAGCTATATCCCGATTTCTAATTAGCTGACGATATTCTCTAATTTTTTTTTGTAAATAATCTTCCCGAAGTGCAACTATACGTCATGATTCATGATAATTACCATACGATTGTCAAGTTTTTTATGTTTAAGACCGCATTGTAATACATGTTGTAAAGTATCTAAAGATTTACAATTATAATCAGGATAATCGCTTAATTTAACTCAAGTCATGTTTAAAGTAGGAACTTTATTTTCTTTAGGTATACATATTATAAATTGTGCGCCATATTCTGGTAAAATCGTCAATATTCTTTAATTTTGTATTTTTTCGTTTCTTCTTTGTAACGTGATTAATAACGTCTCCTTCTTTAATTACGCGATAAATTGACGTTTTTGATGTCTTAGTTAATTCGCTAATCCGTTTCCTAATTTCTTTATCGCATTGTTCACTATTTTCTCTTGTCGAACATTCATATATATTAAAATAATATGTGGACTTTGTACGTGTAAACCTTTGTTTTTAAACTCTGAGTTTGTTTCGAGGCTTTCGACAAAAACCGGCTCGACTATTTGGGTATTTTCCCGGGTTATTTCGTTATCTTCCGTTTCCAAGGCATGCTAAATTACTAGATAATTACATATATAATATTTATTTTAATAACTATTACCCTTTACTGGTTACGATATGAACAAATAATATTAACTAATAATTAACGTATTATACCAACAAACAACATTAATCACTGCTCTCCATTGCACTGGCAAAACCAAGTGAACAGCGTTCGATACTAAACTAATTATTTACGACCTAGTGGACCAATACAGGGTTGCTTTGACGATTCGAGTATAAATTACAAGACAGAAAATTGCTAAAGCACAGGAAGCAATTTCAAGAGAAGTGCAGACGGTCCTGTGCTTTAAGATTGACAGGTTCCAATTGATATCGTAACAACTATACATTACAGTCTGCAAAAAAGGACAAAAGTAGACAACTTCAAGCATTTTATACCGAAAACCAAAAATGCCGTGAATGTGTTTCTAAACTTTCAAACTCAAATAAGAAAAGAATCATGCTAGAACCGACTCTTTCGTAGAAATGATCATATGTTTTTTTTTTACATGAACTCCCAAGTTTCGGAAAGCTTTTAATAAAGCCCCCTTTCACAAAATTCTTTAGTAACTAACAGTTTTCTGTTTTAATTGGTATGTCGATAAAATAAGGAATCGATTCGTGGCACTTTTCATTCTCAGAATTTGATCAAAAATAAAATTCATAAAACATTTATTGCCAATTCTCTGAGTATATTTTGATGAAAAAAAATCTACTATTCCTTATATTTGACAACTGCGAATAAAGGAAAAACCAATGATTGACCTGCTAATTTTACAGTTGTTATAACAAATATTTTAAGTGTCCCTATGTCTATATGGACAGTTTTAGAAATTTTATTCCATACATAAGCACTAAATTTTTACCATTTTACTGTTTAATAATCTGCATGTTAATGGTGATTGTATAAATATTTATTTATCATTTAAAATGAAATGATTTGCCTATTGTAATAGCGTCTTTATAGAAATTGCTGCAGTAAATAAAACTACTTACACTTGTCTTTATTACTAAAAAATATTAATTAAAATGAAACATTTTTTATATAAAAATAGAGGAAATTAAGCAGAATATTTGACAATAAAACGAATCACTAATATTTCATTGAAGATACCAAAGTTAAAGACAAATTTTAAAGAGTATACATGAGATATGAGTAACCTACAATTTAGAAAATTGTGTTTTAAATACATATGTACAAATATAATTTTCAAAAAGGTTATTACAAGTGAGAATATATAAGAGAAGTTTTTAGAAATATACCCAAGTAGTCATGAAATTTTTCCGTTTTTTTCATATTTACATTTTTAAAAATTTAAGCTGTTCCATATTAAAACCACCTATAGAATAATTTTGTCTTTTCAAAATAGAATACTGAAAACAATTAATTTTAAATAATTCGTCAAGAAAAGTATGTTATTAAATTAACAAGATTCACATTTCGAAAATTACTATTTTAAAATACCAAACTTTTTTCAATTTATTTTAGCGGTCATCAAGACATATTTATACTTATGTAATAGCTATAAATATCTTTCTCTATCCGTAAGAAGAAAATTATAAAGCAGCTATATTTTTTTAATTACGGAAAGAAATATTACGCGCGCCTCCGCCAATATCTGCACCTGTGATTTATAGTTGTATAACAGTGATTCAGTGCTATATTTAAATAGCATGCATCTAATGAAAAGAGATAGTAATTGCGACATATTTTAACTGCATGTGGTATTAGATTAAACTTACCACAATACAAATTCTACCAGAAATCATTTTCTCGGAGTAAATTTCACAGGGCACTATTATCCAAACGCAACAAAACCCCAAATCGAGTCCGATACGATGTTGCAAATAATTCGGTATGTCTGTTACACATTCAAAACATGCTCACTAGGTCTTAAAAATGCGTGTGCATCGCATAAAGTTACCAAATAAACTAAACGCGGTTGGCTTTGGACTGCTGCTTCATTATTTCGCAACGCGATGCTAGTTTGTTATTGCAGTCGTCCAGTACGGTTTTCAGGTGGGGTGGAGGAGCTATCCCCTGAAATAAGAATCTGAGGACATCCTTGCGGATGTGTTTAGCAGTCATCGTTGGATTGTATGGATTATTTTATTATGCTGTACAAGGTTAATCAACTGCGATGGAACAGATAAACGTTTCCGTGTGAAAAAGTGAACTATAATGTTGTTCTTCCTCAAAGCACGTAGATACCTCTTTTAACCTTTTAATGAATTATATGCATCATTATTATAATAGTTCATGTGGATAACAATTATAGCAATAATTATAGAAAGTGGAGTGGAAACAAGCTTTTTTTTAACTATAAATAAAAAAATAATTAGAAAATTACAAGTTGTTTTAGTTATAATTATGTTTTATTAGCTACGTCTGTTTAATTTGTCTCATAAAAAGTTTGTGCGTAAGAAAGTGACAGATAAATAAATTTATTTGACAGTTGGAACCACCTGACCTTAATATAAAAAAATATGTTATATTCACACCGATGCGACTGAAATTAACACTTAAATGTAATGTAACAAATGTTATTTTTGACAATTGGACTTTGGACACTTACGCTGGACGACACATCTGGGCTTTAAAGCCCATGAATAATTTGTACACAACTAAGAATCCAGAAGTGGATTCAGTTCAGGCCATTTTACTGACTGACAGGCATAACTTTAACGAATTCTAATTATAACTGCCAAAAACGTTAATTTTCAATTACAAATTGGAGTCGTTTTAAAAATGCTTTTAGTTGGGGCTTTTCGAATTTCAACAAAAATTCAATATGAATAATATATAGGGTAAATCGGGGGATGATAGCCAGCCCAATATATTTTTTTAGATAGTACGATTTATATTGCACTAAATAAAAAAGCAAATACGTATATACGTTGGGTAATTACTTATATATCAGTAGTGGGGTGGAGAATTTGTTTGCTTGGATGGTATATACGTAATTTGAAAAAAATAAAAACTACTGCGATTGGCCATATTCCCCCCAAGGCAAGGTAAGAGAGATATAGCCATAAGACTTCGGGTGATTCAGCCATATTACAAAAACTTATTTAAATAAGATTTTTATTATCAAAACATATAAATAAAATAAAAATACCATAAAATAACACAAATTCTTGTAAAAGAAATTTACAAAAATATTATTAATATTTTAAATACCAGATAAATTTATATAGACGGCTTCTCTTTCAAACAAAATTTTCCACATTTTTGGCATAAATCATGTAACCAAAATTTACATCTTACACAGAAGATCCAGTCATATTTCTTTGTAGTATTATTATATTACTCCCCACAGCCGACGCATTCGTTTTCATTGAAGTCCTCCACGGAATTATCGAATTCACTAGTCAAATGCACGTCTTCTTCACTTTCGCTACTGGAAAAATCAATTTTTTTCTCCTCATTGCCGAGATGGCCATCTTACCTCGTTGTGACTGAGAGAAAAATGTGTGACTTTTTCTAAACTAATTCAACTATAGAAGCAACGATTTTGAGGTTAAAATGCACGATGATGTATATTTATCATGTTTATACCCAGTAATTACCTCAAATTTGTAAAAAAATTTGAAACATTGGCTAGTATATATAATCACTAAATCTACTTTAGGTACTTACCTCGAAAATCTTTTTTTGTAAATATTTAAAAAACTATTTGTTTAGGCCACATTAATTAATTTGAATGTTTTCTTTAATTGCATTCCTATCCTCTGTCACAGATGGCGTACTATGTACAATTTCTGAAACAAAACTGTTCCTTTTTTTTATTTTTCTCTTTTTTGGTATGTGTGACAAAAAAGAACTCTGAGATAGAACCGCGTTCATTGGGATGGTTTGTTGCCAATTCAAAAAAATATTGTAAAAGTTCTATAGTTCATACAGTAATACTTAATGTTTCTTTTTCGTGGAAATAATTTATTCATAGAATTGCCGCATCACCAGTTCGTCGTATTAGTGTTATTACCTGTCTTTTCCTTCCTTCTTATCCTTACTAGTGCGACAGAAGTGAGGGGGCACCTTTTTGCTATACATGGGTAGTAACCACATTTACAACATTTAACTTTAATACAGTCCGCTATAGTAAAATCACATACACTATTATTATAACAACAATACCGTTTGCATCGAAGATATAGCACGCCAGAAACTAAGGTTCAGACCGTCCAACAGCGTCATCTGTTATCTGGTGTGCTAAATATTAACCATGGCAATCTCTCCCCCTATGGCCAACACCGCCGGACTTACTCTAATAGCTATTGCAACCTTATATTTTTTTTTATGCAAAGGTACTTCAAAATAGATTTTTTCTTTCATTATTTATCTAAACTTGGAACTAAAATTTAGGTTATTGGATTGTGTAATTATTAAATAAATTGTTAGTGACAGAAAAGTAAAGTAAGTCCATGAAACATACTTCTCTAACCTGTTACACTAATGCAAAAAATTAAAGGGTCAAAAGAGTTTCCAAAATTTTTCCGTTATTTTTTATCTAAACCTAAAATTTTCACCTAAATACTGTCTGTATTTAGGTGAAAAATGGACGTATCGGGAATTAAAAAAACATTTTGAAGCTCTAAGATTCTAGTTTTTTAGGAGCTACGGTTATCATGCAATTTCAAGAAATAGCGCGACAAAAAAATTCCACGGACTTGAAAAAATTTTTTTTCAGCTAAGCCATTGCATGGATCAGATAGCTTGTTTATTCAGCTTCAGTTTCTTTTATTTTTAAATTTGATTCGCCCATTTTTCATCGAAATATCGGACTTTTAATGGAAAAGGACCCTTTTGTCTTCAATCATCGATATCTCCGCGACAAATGATCGTACAGAGAATTGAAGGGCAGTTTCGAAAACTGGAAAATTAAATTTCGATCGAAAAGTCTAAAATCTAGAATCTTAGTGCTTCAAAATGTTTTTTTTTAATTTCCAATGCGACCATTTTTCACCTATAAATACAGTGTGTCAAATATCACGGAAAAATTTCGGAAATTCTTTTGGCCCTTTAATTTTTTGCATAAGTGTAGTTCAAGTATTTTCATTTGATTTGATTTTTTTTTTATTTAAATTTAATTTTAATTTATAATTTTAGACAAATATTTCCAATTTTTTTAATCAAGAACATAATACTTTAGTCAGAAATAACTATATCAGCTATATTTATTAATAAAGATATTCAAATATGGGGTGTCCCAAAATTCACGCAAGATTTGAATTTTGCGCATTTGTGCATTAAAGTGTTGCCAACGAAAAAAATGCAGCATGACAGCTGACAGTTCAGGGTTATTAAAAGTGGAGCGCTACATTGTTGAGCAATATTTTAAAAATAAAGAAGGTTTAACAGCTACAATATGCAATTTTCGTATAAAATATGGTCAGAATAGTGATTTAACTTCGTCAACTGTGAAGAGACTAATTGAAAAATTAGAGGAGACAGGACCAATTAGTGATCTTAAATACTCTGCCCGTCCTTCAACACAAAACGTCGGAGCTGTTCGTGGGAGTGTTACTGAGGGTCTAAGAACATAAATCCGGCAATATAGTCATGACATTTCGAGAAGCTCTCTACAGCGTATTCTGAGCAGAGATTTGCATCTTCATGCTACAAAATTCTAATGACTCAAGAAGTAAATCCTACTGATCACGCAGAGCGCAGAGAATGGATTATGGAACAACAAGTGGATGCTTTCGACAAAATTGTCACTTTTGGGGCTCAGAAAATCTACGAGTGCTTGTTGAGAAACAAATGCATCCACAACGTTTCACAACGTTTCACTGTTTGATGCGGATTTTGGGCTGGAGACATCATTCCTCTTCGAATATGCGGCTTGTCAGGCAATAACAGTTAGTGGTGCTTGTTACAGCAACATCATAATCTAGTTTTTTGTACCTAAATTCCAAGATCTAGATGTAGACATGTGGTTTCAACATGACGGTGCCACATGTCATAAAGCCCAACAAATAATTCAATAGCTTCATGAGACATTTTCTGGTCGTGTAATTTCCCGTTTTGGTGATCATAATTGGCCGTCCAGATCATGCGATTTGACACCGTTGAACTTTTTTCTTTGAGATTTTTTGAAGTCTAAGGTTTAAGCCAGACCACCCACGCCTTGACTGCTTAAACGCCTTGGACGTTGTATCAATGCAATTCGGCTGCATTTATACAAAAGGGTCATGGAAAAATTCGACAAAATAGTGCGTACCTATGTACCAGCAAAGCCGTGGATTCCATTTACCCGAAATGCTATTTCATACTTTATGAATCAACAAAATATTTACAATTTTTAATTAAAAATCTATATTTTCTATTAAAATTATTTCCTGCGTGAATTTTGGGATACCCATTTCTTGTCTGATATGTGTGCAATTTCTCAAAAACGTCGAATTTAAATTACAATATGTTAATTTACACAAACATCAGATTTATTTCTGTTACGGGTATATTTTAGTTTACAGGATCTAAAAATAAACAAATTTATTTATATGGAATTTTATATATCTAATAAACGTGACTTAGCTTAATGTATATTTCAGCCTCGTATTATTAAGAAAATCAATTATTTACGTAAATGTTATTCTAAAGATAATTGTAAATATTTTATATGTTTAACGCCATATACTTTTAATAAACATATGTATTACGTCCTATCGAAATCTAAAAAATTTCACAACATAATTTGTTGACTAGATTATAATATTGAAGGTTTGCATCTATACTCAACGTTGATATCTCTTATTGAGGCTGAATAATAATTATGCACAATACTCATATTGCTTTTTGTTAATTAACTAGATACCATAAGGAATGAATACTAAATAGATTAAAGCTCGTCATTAGTTTCAAGTTTCCTACAAATAAAATATATTACTTAATACCTACGAGTTCTTATAATATCTGTGGTCAGTACGTAGGTATGGTAAGGTAAGTCTGTATTATAAGCAGTTAGTTC